AAGGAAGACAATGTAATGGTTTATGTTTTCTCACATCCCAGTTAAAGTATATTGTCATGGATCGTTCAACATGTTGAGCTTGCCTTTCCCCCTCATGCTAGCCAAAAACAATTCCTAGCACCAAGTAGAGATACTACTTGTGCCTCCAAATATCCTTAAACCCAGTTTTTCCATGAGAGTCCACCATATCTACCTATGGATTGAGTAAGATCCTTCAAGTAAGTTGTCATCGGTGCAGGCAATAAAAATTGCTCTCTAAATATGCATGACTTATTAGTGCGGAGAAAATAAGCTTTATACGATCTTGTTATGGAAGCAATAAAAGTGACGGACTGCATAATAAAGGTCCATATACAAGTGGCAACATAAAGTGATGTTCTTTTGCATTAAGATTTTGTGTATCCAATCCTAAAAGCGCATGACAACCTCTGCTTCCCTCTGCGAAGGGCCTATCTTTTACTTTATGTCTTTTACTTTATGCAAGAGTCAAGGTGATCTTCACCTTTCCCTTTTTCATTTTATCCTTTAGCAAGCACCTCGTGTTGGAAAGATCTTGATACATATATCCAATTGGATGTTCATTAGCATGAACTATTATTGTTGACATTACCCTTGAGGTAAAACGTTGGGAGGCAACACTATAAGCCCCTATCTTTCTCAGTGTCCGATTAAAACTCCATAACCATAAGTATTGCGTGAGTGTTAGCAATTGTAGAAGACTATATGATAGTTGAGTATGTGGACTTGCTGAAAAGCTCTATTCTTGGTTCTTTCTGATGTTATGATAAATTGCAATTGCTTCAATGACTGAGATTATAGTTTGTTAGTTTCAATTTAGTTTCTGAACCATATTTGACATTGTGAATAGATTGTTACTTGAGAATAAGAAATCATATGACAAAATCTGTATATGTTGCTGTTATAAGAATGATCATGATGCCCTCATGTCTGTATTTTATTTTTATCGACACCTCTATCTCTAAACTTGTGGACATATTTTTCGATATCGGCTTCCGCTTGAGGACAAGCGAGGTCTAAGCTTGGGGGAGTTGATATGTCCATTTTGCATCATGCTTTTATATCGATATTTATTGCATTATGGGCGGTTATTACACGTTATGTCACAATACTTATCGCTATTCTCTCTTATTTTACAAGGTTTATCATGAAGAGGGGGAATGCCGGCAGCTGGGATTCTAGCTGGAAAAGGAGCAAATATTGGAAACCTATTCTGCACAGCTCCAAAAGACCTGCAACTCCAAGAAAGTCATTTTTGGATTTAATAAGAATTATTGGGAAAAGAAAGTACCGGAGGGGGCCCACACCTTGGCTAGGAGGGTGGGGCGCACCCCGCCCCCCTACTGGGCGCGCCCCCTGTCTCCTGGGCCCCCTGGTGGCCCTCCGGTGCCCATCTTCTGCTATATGAGGTCTTTTACCCTGGAAAAAATCAAAAGCACGCTCACGAGATGAAACTCCGCCGCCACGAGGCGGAACCTTGGCGGAACCAATCTAGGGCTCCGGCGGAGCTGTTCTGCCGGGGAAACTTCCCTCCGGGAGGGGGAAATCATCACCATCGTCATCACCAACGATCCTCTCATCGGGAGGGGGTCAATCTCCATCAACATCTTCATCAGCACCATCTCCTCTCAAACCCTAGTTCATCTCTTGTATCCAAAACCACAAATTGGTACATGTGAGTTGCTAATAGCGTTGATTACTCCTTGTAGTTGATGCTAATTGGTTTACTTGGTGGACGATCATATGTTCAGATCCTTAATGCATATTAATACTCCTTTGATCATGAACATGAATATGCTTTGTGAGTAGTTATGTTTGTTCCTGAGGACATGGTGAAGTCTTGCTATTGGTAGTCATGTGAATTTGGTATTCGTTCGATATTTTGATGAGATGTATGTTGTATCTCCTCTAGTGGTGTTATGTGAACGTCGACTACATGACACTTCACCATTATTTGGGCCTAGAGAAAGGCATTGGGAAGTAATAAGTAGATGATGGGTTGCTAGAGTGACAGAAGCTTAAACCCTAGTTTATGTGTTGCTTCGTAAGGGGCTGATTTGGATCCACTAGTTTAATGATATGGTTAGGTGTACCTTAATACTTATTTTGTAGTTGTGGATGCTTGCAATAGGGGTTAATCATAAGTGGGATGCTTATCCAATAAAGGGCAGTACCCAAGCACCGGTCCACCCACATATCAAATTATCAAAGTAACGAACGCGAATCATATGAGCATGATGAAACTAGCTTGACGATAATTCCCATGTGTCCTCGGGAACGCTTTTCTCATTATAATAAATTGTCCAGGCTTGTCCTTTGCTACAAAAAGGATTGGGCCACCTTGCTGCACCTTATTTACTTTCATTGCTTGTTACCCGTTACGAATTATCTTATCACAAAACTATCTGTTACCTACAATTTCAGTGCTTGCAGAGAATACCTTACTGAAAACCGCTTGTCATTTCCTTCTGCTCCTCGTTGGGTTCGACACTCTTACTTATCGAAAGGACTATGATAGATCCCCTATACTTGTGGGTCATCACATCTCCTTCCCTCCGGGGTTTTCTCCCCGACTGGCGTACGCTCCAGTTGCACCCGCTCCGGTAAGAACCATCCCTCTGCTTGTAGATTTGTAGATTAGGGTTTTCATCATTAGCATGCTCCGGTGAGATGTGAATCGATTTGATAAGGTTCGATTTGAATCGAATCGAATCGATTCGATTCGATTCCTTCTTGTGCGGTACTGTTCATAGGCATAGTAGTGTTCATAGGCATGCAAAATTAGATTGTGCTTCGTGCTCATGATGTAGAATGTGTTCATGGGCATGGTAGATAGGTGTTTTGTTTGATGTTTCATGCTTACTAGTGTTCATAGGCATGCAACATTGGTGTGTGCTTAGTGCTCATGATGTACAATCTGTTCATGGCCATGGTAGATTGTGTTTGATGTTCACGATTAGTGCTCATGTGCAACAATGTGTTCATGATGCTAGCCATATTGTTGTTGTCTTTGATGTTCACGATTAGTGCTCATGTGCAACAATGTGTTCATGATGCTAGCCATATTATTGTTGTCTTTGATGTTCATGCTAATTGTTCATGTGCATATTATCTAGATTGGTGTGTGTTTCATGTTCATGCTTAGGGTTCATGGGCATGCTAGCTATATTGGTGTTGTGTTGTCTTTGATGTTCCTGCTTAGGGCTCTAGTACAAATGTGCATGCTAGGTTTATCGTGTATGGTTCTCATGGTAGGTAGGACCAATGTGTTTGCTACTTTAGGCACTAGTACAAATGTGGCATGCTACCAATGCCCTGTTACTAATCCATGTCATCTTACCTGACAAGGTCATGAAGACGGGGTGGGACATGGCCGGTGGAGGGGCCCATGTCGTTGCCGGTGCCGAGGCCGTGGTTGACTTCATCCCCACGAACCGCTGGCTGAAGAGGGTGAACCTGCCTGGCAGGGTCGCCTTCATGAGCCAGCCACGTTAAAGGGGACGAGCTCCTAGGACCGGCCACGAGGAAGGGTCCCAAGAGCCGCTTCGATTTTACGTGCAAATGATGGACGAGAAGGATCTGGCCATGCTCGTCATCCCTCCCAAGTTCCAGGAGATGATGAGGTAGTGGGTTGTGCTCAAGACCAAGCGTGTCATCAGGCTATCTGCCAAGAAGTGATGCGAGTTCTGGGTGCAGGTTCAGACCTTCGAGTGGCAGATGGTGCTTGGCCAGGGTTGGCAGTACTTCTGCTGTCGCCCCGGCGACCTCGTCGTGTAGCGTATCTCCGTCCTAGGCCTCAAGCTCCAAATCTACAACCACGATAACTCCATCGGGTGCAGGGTGCGCTGCAGCAAGCACAGCAGCATCGGTGACCTTGAATTCGCCGAACTAGTTAATATGAACTTGTAGTTAGTCTGTTGCGGTGATCGGAGAACTTTGGCATGAACTTGTTAAGATTTTGTTCAGGGCTCATTACCCTGTGGTGAAGCAGGGGGCATAGGATGCCCCTGCTCCCTTTAAACTTATGCCTGTTTATCTGCTGTTAGTATAAGTGAACTTGGCAATGAAGGTATTTGGAAGGAGAGAACCAAACAGTACCCTTGGCACCTAAAGAAGCAAGAGGATTTCAGATTTCCCGATATGCTTGTGTATCGGTTGCATTCAAACAATTTTATCTTCTCCATATTATCATATCTCTAGAGTCAATAATTTTCTAGGAGGAACTACTGAACTCAATCACTTACTGCCGTTACTCAACAGTTTTCTGTTGAGGTCTATCCAGTAGAGGTAGTCAAATTGGATCAGGGTGTATACAAATAAATATGTTGCCCATCATGATAATCGATGGACACCCATGTCTACATAGCCACTTCTTAAACAAAACCTTCTACATCTGCATCCTGAGCCCCAAGGATGTAATTCAGCTTCGCATCCTTTGTAGGAAACCGGTGTTGGCCACAAAAGTTTCAGAGGAGGATTAACACTAGTCACATTCTTCCCACATTAAACACTGAGCAGTCAGTTCATAGTATGAAATTTCAACACTCAGACAACCTCGATCTCATAAATCACATCTTCTAATTTGGCTCTCATGTACTACCTTCCAATAAACTTCTGCATAAATCATCTCGAAATGTTCTCACAAGCTCACAGCTCATCGGAGGTCGTCGACGAACATGGAAATGCAGTAAATGCATTTGTACCTGGCTCAACATCAGAGGCAAAACAAAAAAAATCAAATGGCCAGACAACCTTAGTATGCTGGAGCATCTGGAAGCAGAGGAATGTCAGGGTCGTCGCAAGTCGCAACCGCTGGTTTTTTCAGGTTGAGCTACTGTTAATAATGTACTGCTGGAGCAAAGAATTCTGGCTGCATAACCCTGCTATGACATGCCCAAAGAGATATAACACTACCAGTTCGCCGCCCTTATATGTATCTACACTTATTTATAGATCCTCTGCAAAAAATATGATATGGAGCATCAGACTGTCGGCAGGAACTTCTCATCTTGAGCAGCAGCCGGCTTGGATTCCTCGTTCGTCTTCCGGAAGACGAGCTTCTGCTGCGGGAGCTTGCCATTGGACGGCACCGTAACCTGAGTGTCGACGGAGATGCTGTCCTCATCCTTGAACTCGCCTCTGAGGATACCCTTGGCGAGTTCATTCTCCACATACTGCTGAAGCACCCGCTTCACCGGCCTGGCGCCGTAGTTGGGGTCGTAGCCAAGGCTTCCCAGGAACTCGATTGCTGCCGGTGAGACGTCGAGTTTGATCTTGCGGTCGGCGATCCTCTTCTGCACTCTCGCCAACTGTATTTCAAACAGGCAAATCAAAAGAGAAGATGATTAACAAGTGGCTCGCAATCACATGGCCTTGTATTCTTTTGCTAGCACCGTCATTTTGAATTGCAAACAAAATCAAAAGTAAGAGACGTTGTTACCTGTAATTTGACAATGCTGTTTATCTGCTTCCTCTCAAGAGGCTTGAAGACGATGTACTCGTCTACACGATTCATGAACTCAGGACGGAAAACAGATCTTGCAGCATCCATCACCCTCTTCTTCATACTCTCGTAGGCCGAATCAGTCGCTCCGCCTTCTTCATCCATATTCAATATGTACTGTGAACCAACATTGGATGTCATGATAATGATACTGTTGGTGAAGCTCACCTTCCGGCCCTGCGAGTCTGTAACCCTGCCATCGTCCAATATTTGCAGGAAAACATTGAATACATCTGAATGGGCTTTCTCAATCTCATCAAACAAGACCACAGAGTATGGCCTCCTACGGACAGCCTCTGTAAGCTGACCGCCCTCTTCGTACCCAACATAACCTGGTGGCGCACCAATCAGTCTTGAGACAGAGTGTTTCTCCATATACTCGCTCATGTCAATCCTGACAACAGCATCCTCAGTGTTGAACATAAAAGAAGCGAGTGCTTTCGCCAATTCTGTTTTGCCCACTCCTGTAGGTCCCATGAACATGAAGCTGGCAATGGGCCGGTTTGGATCAGACAAACCAGCTCTGGATCTCTGGATGGCCTCTGCAACTGCTTTGACTGCAGGATCCTGCCCCACTACACGCTTGTGCAGTTCGTCCTCGAGATACAGCAGCTTTTCTCTGTCGGATTGCTTTAACTTGGAAACCGGGATGCCTGTCCACCTGCTCACAATCTCTGCAATATCATCTTGGGTCACCTCTTCTCTTAGCATGGATTTCCCAGAACTTTGATATTCGTTTAGCTCATCCTCTGTTTTTTGAAGGTCCCGCTGCAATGCATTCAGACTACCATACTTCAGTTCAGCAGCACGATTGAGATCATACTCACGCTCAGCCTGCTGGATCTCCACATTTAACCTGTCAATCTGTTGCAACAGTTAAATGCAAGTCAGATCAAATGGCAACAACAACCGTGTCAATCTACATAATACAGACAAAGACTAAAATATTGGAACTGAACTTACCTCTTCCTTAATAGATTGGATCTTTGTCATCACCGACTTTTCACGCTCCCACTGCTCAGTCAGTCCCTTCTGCCTTTCTTTCAAAAGTGACAATTCTGCTTCAATGCGAGATAATCTGTCTCTTGATGCCTTGTCTGTATCATTTGTTAGTGAGAGACGTTCCATTTCAAGTTTGAGCACAGAACGATCAATCTCGTCCAGAGCAGTCGGCTTCGATGTTATCTCCATTTTCAACTTGGCAGCTGATTCATCGACCAAATCAATTGCTGCAACAAAACAAGACGGTCACTGTTTAGAATGAGCTACAAAAGTGCCTGCAGTAGAGTTCATGATGCCCTATTATCAAGCAGGCTAGTAACTTCAAGCAGAAGTGATGCTATAGTAATAAATACCTTTGTCAGGCAAAAATCGTCCGCTGATGTAACGATCTGACAAAAGAGCGGCAGCAACAAGAGCACTGTCTGATATGCGGACCCCATGGTGCAATTCGTATCTCTCACGTAATCCTCGGAGTATTGACACTGTATCTTCAACTGTTGGTTGATCAACATACACTTGTTGGAAGCGGCGTTCCAGTGCTGGATCTTTCTCAATATATTTGCGGTACTCATCGAGGGTTGTTGCACCAATGCAACGTAGCTCCCCTCTTCCGAGCATTGGTTTCAGAAGATTGCCAGCATCCATTGCACCAGAAGTGGCACCTGCAATAAGGTGAAAATTCGTAAACTTCTGAGCAGTAGATATGAAACTTGTTTTTCACATTGATGGTGATGATAAAGTTAGTTTTACGGCATGATAAGAGTCCAAGTTTGTAGACAGCAAACTTAGTCATGTTATTCACATTGATGGTGATGTTAAGTCAGTTTTAAGGTGTGATAAGAGTCCAAGTTATTAGACAGGAAACTTACTCATGCTATTCATGTTGATGGTGCTGGCAAGTTAGTTTTAAGACGTGATAATGAGTCCAAGTGTGTGGTTCCATGAGAATGTGATGCAAGTGAATGCGTAAGAAGAAGCCGTTGAGTTTCCGTGTTGTTTCCACCATTGACCCCTATGGCCCTATCTATGTTTCTATGGTGGCAAAAGAACGCTCATTCATCAGCAACATGGAGACTTAGCCCCTATCTATGTTTCCGTGTTCTTTCAGTCAAATTCATCCAATGATTTTACTTCGCACTCTCCATAGCAGTGAATACCTGTATCTTTTACCAAAATTTCAGTGAAAGGAGAACAGCAGGATGAGAACAACCCAACAAGCTGTTTGGACTTCCTAGCTAGTGAAAGAATGCAGAGAACTTAAGATACTATAACTTCACCGCCTAATCACTTGGTTCATAATGAAACGGAACTTAACAAGATGGTACAGCTTTGCCATCTCTGACAAGCTGGCACAGTGTTGTGCTCAAAACATGTTATGCATTATTTTTGTAACTCAAGTAAACAAATGTTATGTGAGAATACACTAGTAAATAACTGACAAACTGTTTTGTTGTATGGAAGAATCAGGAGTTTATCTATGTAACAATCATCAACAGATATATAGACTTCGGCTGTAAAATTGCGTTGATGCATCTCAGTATTCATAAATCAAATATTTCACATACAGCACCCAAATTGGATCAAATGCTGGAGATTCCCAAAAACTTATTGTCCCACAGTTTATTAGCTACATGGAACTAGTGCCAGCCAAGCAGCATTTTTTTATATTGAACATAAATTCAGTGATCTATGAAATCGAAATGAGATGACAGTAGCCACATGTTTGGTAAACAATATTGAGCAAATAGATCAGTCTATTTATTCCTCAATTTTTAGGCTATGCATGAAACAAAAAAAAGAGGTAAATAGCATTATCAAATAAACTTTGTAGGAAGTTAGTGTAGGAAATAAGGAAAATTACCTGCTCCAACAACAGTGTGGATCTCGTCAATGAAGAGAACAACCTGTCCATCAGAATCTGTGACTTCTTTAAGTACAGCCTTCAGTCTATCCTCAAATTCTCCTCGATATTTTGCACCGGCAATCAAAGCCCCCATGTCAAGTGTAATTAGCTGCTCAAAACAAAAGTAAACATTACTCATAAGATCGTCCTGATATAACCCTGACAAGATAGCATCATTGCAGTGATAAGTAAACTTACTCGACGGTTTGTCAGTGCCTGTGGGACATCTCCTTGCACTATCCTCTGAGCAAGCCTAAATAAGAATGTAAAATACGGTAAGAGAAACTACTGGCATACTTCACAACTGATGAAATGATGTGCAAAATGTACAGTTTTCCTACCCTTCAGCTATGGCTGTTTTTCCCACGCCAGGTTCACCAATCAAAACAGGATTATTCTTTGTTCTCCGAGACAAAATCTGAATGCACCTACGGATTTCATCATCTCTCCCTATAACAGGGTCAAGCTTCCCCTGACGTGCCATAGCTGTCAGGTCCTTTCCATATTTGTCCAAAGCTTCATACTTTCCCTCAGGGTCTGAGAATAGATCATTTAATAGTTGTTACTCAGGAGAAAAAATGTGCATGTCTTCACAATTCAAGAAACAAAGGAAGCACCCAACGTCCATACCTACTGAAGCACATATTTAATAAACTTCTGCAGCATTTTTTCTGCTAAAAAGGTCTCTTTTGTACACATTAAATCCATACATACAATCTTGTTTTCGGGTTATCACTTAGCAACTGAATGTGTTTAATAGCGTGACGACCTCACAAAGCGACATTTTATAGAGTAAACTATAGGTCGCACCATGGAATTTGATCAGAGTATGCAACGGTATGAGCATGTGAAGAACGTTAACAAGTTATTTGAATACTAAATCATAGCATTCATATAAAAGAAAATATCCATACCTTGATCAATTACATTTTGCTTCCCTCTTATGGATTCAATAGCTGTTTTCAAGGATTCTACGGTGATCTGGAAGTCCTTGAACAGCTGTCTTCCAAATCGCTTATCATCCGCAAAACCAAGAACAATATGTTCAACCGAGACGAATGAATCACCATACTCTTTCTTAAAGTTTCTCGCCCTCTGTATCAGAGCTTCCAAGTCACGCCCCAACATCGAACCAGGATCTTCACCTAATACCTGAATCATCGGGGAAAAAAGAAAGTCTCATTGCAGGTACTTGTTTATATTTCTTATTTGACGATAAAGCAATATACTGTAGCGCACAAAGAAATGTTAGGGCCAGTATGGAAGTAGAAGACTCAATTGATATGTCTGTTTACGACAAATCACCTTAGGCTGCCGCTGGATGAACTTCTCGGTGGCATCGAGAAGCCGTGTGTTATCAACTCCAGCTTTGGAGAAGATTCGACGGGCAAGCCCGTTCCTCTGCTCCAGCAAGGATTTCATCAAATGTTCAGTCTCCACGATCTGGTGTTTGCTCTCTTTGGCGACTTCGGGTGCCAGAACAATCGACTGCCATGCCATCTCGGTGAATTCTTGCTGTGTAATCTGGCAGCCAAAGAAATGATAATGAACTACATGAGTATTGTACTTCTTACATCAAAGGGGATGCTGAATAAACAGGATGCATACAAAATTATTATTCTTCAAAGAAACAATGGTTTGTACCGTGTACCTGTAGGTTACATATAAGAAAAAAATAACAATTGCAGAACAGTATGATTTAAATAAATCATCTAATTTGCAGTGGCATACAAGTTGATGGCAACGGTGGATAAGAGACAGACAGTAATGTGTTGTGTTCAACCCAAGCAGCTATGAGTTCAGTAACAGGCGGGTCAAGGCAATTGAAGGATTTCATCAGATGAAGAACTAGGGAGTGGTATCTCTGTAGTGAAATCTAGCAGCAGTAGCGCGACTGACAAGAATTTTGATTGTGAACATTTGGATCAGACTCTACAGTTGCATTTCCTTCCCAAAATGTGGGTTTCAGACTTTCAGGCTCAGACAAAAATTCAGATGGCCCAAAACCTCATCACCAGCCAAAATTAATCGGTGACTTCGGGGGAGCAAAGAGGGGTTCCGCACAAAACTCAAGTACCAAATCTGAGGTCGCGTGCATAGATGGAAATACAGTACGTAGAAGATAAAGGCGAGTCCTCACCCTCCCGTCCCGGGAGCTGGCGTTGCACCTGACGGAGAGCGCCGGCCGCCCGGTTCCCACCACCGGGGAGAGGCGTCCCCGTCCTCTCGCCGCGCTGAGCGCGACGCGGGTCGACGACGGGCCCGCCGCCCTCCTGCTGCTGCCCCACGCCGCGGCGGCGACGGCCGGGGCCGGGGCGGCGGCCGGGTAGGAGGAGATGTGGAGGTCCGCGGCGAGCGCGGGCGGCGGCGCGGTGGCCATGGTGCCCGGTGCCTTGAGTTCTTGGACTCACGGACAGAGTGGAGTGGCGAGCGGCTGTATAGATGTGCTGTATCTGTCGTCTTCTAGATGCGTAGGGGGTGGGATGGAGTGGCGAGGCCGGGGGCGGAGGTATAAAAAGACGGTGAATTGGAGGGACGGCGGGCGCTGTCACCGGCGTCGCGGCGTGGGGGCGGTGGGAGGTTCTGGGAGGTTCAGGGGAGCACGAGGAGGGCGTGGAAGGACGGAGGATGAAGATGATTGATTGGGTGGATGTGCGTGCGTGGCTTCGGGGGAGCTGCAGAATTGTGCGCCGTGAGATCTCCGGACTCCCTCCCGGTCCCGGTGGGCGGCCCGATCTGCGGCGACCGGGTTCCACTCGCCTGAGCTACAAAAAAAAAAAGCGATATTTACTCTTTTTCCCAAAAAAAAAACTCCACCCCCCAACATATACTACTCTCTTTATTTACTTTTCTTTTAGAAAAACTCCACCCTCAATATATATTACTCCCTGCGGTTAGGGTAAATGAACAACCGGGTTCTGATTCTCAGGAATCCAGAGCCACTGCCGATTCTTAGGAAAATCCGTAGCAAAGTGATTCTCAAGAATCTGTGGCCCAAACAAAGGGGGACTTAATCATGTCCCACACACTCGTGTGCTAAGGTAATTCAAGGTGGTAGTTTTCCTGCACCTGGGTAGTCAAACTTGTGGGCAGTACTGTTTGAGCAGAATTTGTGTTTTTTTTTGTGTTTTGTTTATCACGAGCTAATTTGATGTCATTTGGCCACCAACATTTGTAAGCACCTAATTGCTTTTGTCATAGCCGATGCCAGGATTTTTTTTCAATTTTTTTATTTTGTGTGATTTTTAATTTTATTACTCTTCATTGTGGATGCAATGCACCTGGATATAGCCAACACTTTCCCTTCAAGTAGAGACTAGTTCGAGAATTGCTAAGGTAGGTTATGCATACAGAGTTGATAGCCTTTGTCATAGCTACATAAACGGTCGCAACCTTCATCTACTCCCTCCGTTCCAAAATAGATGACCCAACTTTGTACTAAAGTTAGTACAAAGTTGGGTCACCTATTTTAGAACTGAGGGAGTAAGTATTAACGATTACTCAAGCTTGAATGTAGCCATTACTATGTCTCATGGGGGACACAAGCAGATATTGATCTTGAAAGAAGATTAGGATAATCACATGGCAAACCTTACAAATTGAGTTTCTTTAGAAGGAAGGCTCAAGATGAGCCCAACTTCCAGTTAACAAAGCCATCAACCAGCCAAGAGTTCATTGACTTACAACTTACAAGTGAAAGGAAACAACATATATGAAGTTCTTATAAACAGTTCAACTGTTACAATTGCACAAGCACACCAAAACAGAAATGAAACAGCTTGTACCATCGAAGTCGTCGTCCACCAACAAAACAACAGGCTAGGACGGTGCGCCCGCCTCGTTTTTCTCAATTTATTTTTCGGTTAGTTTAATTTTAGTTTTGAAATTTCATGAGTACAAGAACAAAAAAGTTATTAATTCGAAACAAATGTTCACAAATATTCATAAAATATTCTTGACTTTGAAACATGTTAGCCAATTAGAAAAATGTTCTCAAATTCAAAACAAGTTCATGAAATTCAAAAATGTTCATTAATTCAAGAGAATTCATAAATTCAAAAAAATCAAAAACGGTTCACTTGAATTCAAAAAAAGTTCATAAAATTCAAAAAAGTTCATAAAATTAAAAAAATCGTGAATTCAAAAAATCTAGTGAATTCTATAAAATGTTTTCGTATTGAAAAAATGTTGACACGCTTACAAAACAATGTTTTTGAATTCCAGAAATACTTAAGAATACAAACAAGGATCAATAATTAAAAAAATCATGAATTTAAAAAATGGTCGTGAATTGAAGAAACTTTTTGTGAATTCGAAAAACTTCAAGAATTCAAATAATGTTCAAGTTCATCAGAAGATGATAGTGCTCGCAGCTGGCAATACATATCAGTTGTGGTCTAGGAAGCAGCAGGGTGGATTACCATAAGCGGCAAATAGACGGAGCAACGCCCGCCAGTCAACCATTTTGTCGCGTATGTGCTGCTATTCTTTTGCTGCGCAGTTATTTCTGCTTGTTTATCTTATATGCTTTTTTGCTTTTCTTTTGGTTTATTTTTGGGATTTTTTTACTTCCTTTTCTAGTTTTTTTTCTTTTTGGGTTGAATTTATCATTCTGTTTTTTAACATACTTACAGAACATATATTTATTAACAATGAACATTTTTTCAGTATGCGATGAACATTTTTAAAATATGTATATGAACATTTGTATATATGCTAAACATTTCTTCAGTTTACAGTGAACATTTTAAAATTACTTGTGAACGTTCTTTATATACGCTGAACACTTTTATATACATTAAGCTCTATTTGAATGTACCATGATTGTTTTTAGCATAGAGTGAACATCTAATATACAGATTGAACTTTTTAAATATATCTTGTACCTTTTTTAATACACAAGATATTTTTATTAAAGCACACACCGAACATTCTTTGAAAAACCCTGCAAGAAAAAGCCAAGAGTAAAAAAACAAAGAGAAAACACCCAATGGCCAGTTTTTTCAAAAAAAAAAGGAAAACAAAAAACCAACAGGAACAAAAATAATTATAAGCAAACGAACTGGGCCGGCCGATTTGCCCTTGTTGCTGGTGTAGCCTCGCTTAGTTGACGCCAAAGGGCGAAAGGGCGTCAACTAGGAGGTCTCGTCGCACGGGGCGTTAATAGCTTTCTTTCAAACAAAGACGAGCGTCCGACCACACCGATGACACAAGATAAAAAAGCTTAGTTTATCATCAACATTAGGTTAGTTTGTCTTTAAAACCATAGAAGTAGAATCGTGGAATTACAAACATCAACAATTAATTAGGAACAGATTCAACACTATAAACTCATTGTCATGCAAATTTTGACAATCATTTAGGAACATAAATCTTTTAAAACCAATATAAATTGTCATGCAAATCATTCGCAATTGCCATGCTTCCCAGCTGAGCTCGCTGGTAAAGCCAGTCCTTTCATTTGATAAATCAGCGAAATGTGGGCAATTGATGCAGGTTTTGAGGAAAGCCGATGGCAAAAACAGACATATAAATTCGAAAGAAGGACCACCAGACAGCTGACGACAGAACCGTACATCTTTTCTTATTTATTTCTGATTTCTGAAATACACGCATTGCCCCAATTATTCAGGCAACAGAGACCTGAGATGGCAAGCCCCCATATCGCCATCGCCGTCGGGTAAAACCCTCGCCCTCGCAAGGTCAGTGAACCACATCAGCCAAGTGAAGCAGAAAAAAAGGTTACCAGGACCAACCACCAGCACAGAAATGATAAAAGAAAGTCGAGCAGCAAATATATATAGCACTGTTTGATAGTGTGAGATAGATATTATAAGTAGTAGGCCTGCTGCATATTGTTAATTAGTTCCTTACGATTGGTCGACGATGACAAATGATTTGCAAACTACTCCGTAGCTAGCAGGGAGGGTATATACATAGGACATGCAACATGGCATAGCTAGCACAACAAGGCACGGAGTTACGAGTCTGTCCATCAGCATCAGCGGATTCAGGGAACGGGTATCAGGTCCCTCAACCCCGCCTTCTCTTCACGGCACCGCCAGGACCAGGCAGTGTCAGGGAGAGTGGCAGCTCATCAGGGTGATTGCAGCCTGGCCTTGTGTTATCAGAATCCACAGGCGCAGGAGCAGGAGCAGGTGCCGGAGCAAATGCACTCAGGGTGGAAATCAGTGACAGTTGAGGGAAACTCCGCTCCATGAATTCTATCACATCTGTTGCCGTCGCATTGTCTTCTTCAGCCATCTTCTTCATCTGCACCTTCATTCTCATCAGGTTAGTCGCCATTTCTTCTCTCCAAGTTGCCACCATCTCATACACCTTCTGCACCAAGCCAGCTCGGAGAGCCTCTGTTTCTGCACTCATATTGTCTTGAAATTCTGCTTGCATCTTCTCGCTTTCTGCCACCATACTAGCAGATTTTTCGAGAAACTCCGCCCTCAGTTTATCGTACCTGGATTTAGATCTCGCCTCCACATCTTGCACCATAGATATTGAACGTGCCACCACCTCGCGAAGCTCAGACTCGCAATGTGCTTTCACTTCCTGCAGCGGCACGTCCGTTGAGCAAAAGAAAACTTTGTGAGATGGAATCGGCATCCAGCTTTTAAGAGACCTCATCCACCATATATAAGTAAACTATAGTTGATTTAAATGTGATGAACACTTCCATTCTTAATTAGGTGCCTGATGACACTTGAAGACAGGACATCTATATAGACTGGTAGTGAGTGACTATTTATATGATCATCTGTTGATACGACGTACGGGGTTAATCAATTCTATCTATTCTAGTTATATGTACTCTCTGAATCTCTACTGGTGCCAGCATCAGCTGTCTGCTACCTGTATCAGGTGGACGGAAGCAAACTCGAAACTGAAGCCTTCTCTTTGACACAAGAAGCAACAGAGCATTTACAGGGATAACAACTGTGTCTACCGTTTCATACGTTATCTCTCACGTTGTTAATAGATGATGTTGGATTAGTGGCAGAGTTAAGTATTGCTCCAACTGTTGCTCTACAGAAAGAGGAAAAGACTACTATTCCTATTGGATCAAGATGCCCAAAAAGCAGAGACTCATAATTTGGCACTTGTATATATGATTCTTCTATACAAGTACACCAGAAGAAAGTGAGAGAACCTGTAAACGACAACAGCCATCCCACAAATTTCCTGGGGCGTAGAGGTTGGTAATAAGGTTGCGTTCAAATTGTTCGCCACACTGTGGGCACTGAAAAAAAACATATGCATTCGTGCTTAATTAATATATTTGTGAACCAGAGCAAACATAAAGTATATACAGAATAATGCCTAGTACCTTCGCACTGTCATCGCCGCAACGATGGAGCCACCTCTCTAGACATGACCTGCCGTACACATGTCCACAAGGAATGCAACTGCGTGCAACAGAAAGGAAGTTACCCATCGATGGCACAATATTTTCACTAGCCACATTGTTCAAACACAACCCATGCTCGCAAGGATCTAATACGAAACATAAAAAAAAAGGATCTGATACGGGGAAAAACGCGGGTATGCCTCCAGAAAGAAAGACCAAGAAAAACTGGTGTGTATTTATCACAAGATGTGATTAGGGCCATTAAAGGTCCACCAAAGCTCCACCGTCAACAGTCTCCCCTCATCGAACTTGCTATCACCCACACTCCTTGGCATCCTCTAAAACTGCGACCCGCCTCATCCTGAGAGCTCACCATTCCTGCTCCTCGCGTTCATGTCGCATATATAGACTCATAATTCAAGTAGAGATTCATCTTAATTTGTTTTCTAGATAATTGATGGTACTGAGACGAAACACATTGCCACCCAGTTTTGTGCTTATATGTGGTGCGGATAGCCTGTAATTAACCTAGTGAACAGTTGCAGGACTAAATGCAGTTCAAACCATTACTAAAACAAACCCTGATTTTTTTACTAGTAGCACACAAGCAATGTTGGCCCATAACTAAAAATACGAATCACCGGCAACAAACCTAGTGCCCTTGTGCATTGTGAAGAAAAAAAAAAGAACTGCTCTAGGCCTTTCAATTTGTGACTGCTGGCACACATCAACCCGGCCACAGCATGAAAGATGGTACTAATTACGTATAAATGAACTATGAATCCAACACGCAATCGCCCTACAAGACACACTGGATGCAATGCCAGATTTTGAAGTTGAGCGCACAAGATTCAAAGAATAGCTCAAAGTAAACACCGAGGACAAGCAGGCAAAGAGCAAAAGCCAATGCCGTGTCGCTACTCCCTACTCACCAGATGCGGTGGTCGCCGCTGCAGGTCCAGGGCTCCATACAGACGGGGCAGGTGGGCGCCGGCGGCGGCGTGGTCACCGCGCCGTCGCACCCTCCAGCTGCCGCATCCCCCGTCTCAGTGGCCGCCGGAACCCTAGCTCCCAGATCGGACGGCATCGGAGGAGACACTGGGGGAGAGTGGGGAGCGGAAGCAGCGCAGTAAATGTGGGAGGTTTTTTTGGTTGGGGTTCCAGCCGACCAACTCATGGTACTGGACTCTGAAAGCTCGCCCGCCCCACCCCACGTTTTTCTTGGCAGATTTATGGTACCGCAAAAAACCCGACGCGAACACCCGTAATTTTTTTACGGAGGCCTGTAAACCCCGGGCCGCGGATTCTAGGGTTCGCGTCCTTCATTTCCCCTATCGCATCCGCCGCAAATCCCCTCTCCTCTGGCGATAAATCCCTCTGCGATGCGCGTAGCCACCAGAACTGAGCCTTGATGTCGTGCGCGGGTGGCGGAAGGGGTGGCTGAGGGGGTTTCGGCGGCCGTGGTGGCGATCCGCCTCGCAACCGCCGCCATGAAGATGAGGCCAGGAGCTCCTCGCTTCGCCCGCCGGTGGAGGAGTGACGCAAGGAGCAAGCGTGGAAGCATGGTGCCTTCTCCCGCTGTGCGGGAGCATGGGCATGGACCAACTTCGACAAGCTGGACCAGATCTTCTTCCCCGCGACCAAGCATCTCTGTGCGGCGGAGCGCACATGGTTCGAGGCAAAGGAGGCGGCTGCCGCCGGAGACGAAGCTGCAGCGGCGCGAGTGCCGGCGTTGAAAGAACAGTACGTCCTCGCCTTCATGCTCTCCAACTCGCTGATGGAGCACCACCTCGGCGTCAAAAAGTCTAGTGATGATGATGATGCGTAGATCTAGGTTTAATTTTGTTTATGCAGTATGTACCCGTATGGACTCTGTTTCCGTATGATGAACTCCGATGATGTAATATGTGGCGCAAACTGCTAGTTTGAATATGTCGTATGTGTTTGAGTTCGTTTGCGGGATATGTTCTTTCTCTGTGTCCGCTGTACCGCAAATTTCATTTACGGGATACTGTAAACGAAATTTGCAGGACCGCGGTTTGTGGGATCTACTAGAGATGCTCTTAGAGCATTTCTAGCACATCCTGTCAATCACGGTACACACAAATTTCGTTTACGGATACTGTTAGACGATTTTGCGGTACCATGGAAGGCACGCGAGAGCAGATCCTTCATACCATACTGCATAATTTAAAGATAATAGATAAACATAGGTCCCGTCACCATGGTTCGCCAGAAGTTCATCGCACAAAATTAAACATAGTAGATAACCTACTCCAAACTGCTCCAATCCTTTTTGACATGGAGATGATACTCCATCGCGGAGTTGGAAAGAATGAAGGCGAGGTTGAACTTCTCCTTGGTCGCCACACCAAACCGAGCTACGAAAATGTGGAATCTCATCCAACGACAATGATAACCACCGAGATGATTCGCCAGGATAACCGGTGCATGTGAAAGGCTTTGATGACATGAGCGTGTCCGATTTGGTTTGGCTGAGTTTTAGGATTGTTTTAGAGCATCAGGAGAGTCATGTTTTTTAGGGCAATGGGAGGTTTGGCTGGTTTGAGGACCATCTCACAAAACGGATTTGTATTTTGTAGTTTTATACGCCGAAGGTTCTAAATCGATTTACAATCTGGGTTTTCCATTTCCGAATCATGCATTTGTGCTGTCGGTATGCTCTGGTGCTTAGGATTGTGCTATCATGTATTTCTTCTTTCATTGTGTGATAATAATCCCCCCCCCCCCAAACTATAACCTACACACTCTTCCGGTCACACGGTTTCTTCATGAAACATACGGATTGCACCGGTTCAGAAGGCCACGGCGGCCGGTGTGTGCTCTTCTTAGGGTGTGTTTGGTAGAGTGCATGGAGGATGCATCATGCATGAGCTCAAGAGTTCCCTCCTCGATCCATTTTTGGGTGTTTGGTAGCCTACACGGGGCCTCCTCAGCATGCACGAGCTCAACCCAAATACACTCTTAGCATGCACGAAGAGAGAACACCCCAACAACCGTTTGCTGGTCAGCATGCATGAGCAGATCGAGCGACAACATGTTTCAAAAATTGTTAAGAATTTCCAAAAAATAATTTAATTTTCAAAAAATGTTCAGAATACCAAAAAATTCACATTTTCAAAAAAATCTCTAGGTTTGTAATTCTTTTTTATTTTTTTGGGAAAATGTCCAGATTTTCAAATTTTGAAAAAATGTTTGGAATTTTAAATTTCTTTCAAATTTTACAAAAAAGTTTGGATCATTAAAAATAATTTCAAAAAATGTTCAGAATATCAAAAAATTTAAGAAAATTTAAAAAAAAGATCAAACTTTCAAATTTTGTTTAATTTTAAAAAAAAACTTAAATGTTTAATTTTTGAAAAAAAATTGTGTTTCCATGTTTCAAACAATTTTTCAAAATTTTGAAATGTTTTTTTCACTTATTTGAAAATACCGGTTGCTACAGTGCCGGCCGACATTGTCTAAACAGATGCAAGGTCTCAGCTTAGCATGTCTCAGCACATACACCATTACCAAACAACAGCAAATGCATGTACTCAACATGTCTACACTGGGCATGTATCAGAGGAGAACAACCATGGAATGCTACCAAACAGACCCACAAAATCAACTCCCACGACGCCGCCTTCTCTTCACAGCATGAGCAGGACCAGCAGGATCAGGGCGAGTCCTTGCGTTGTTCTCTGAACCCACAGGAGCAGGAGCAGAAGCCGAGACACAGGCAGAAGGACGAGGGATGGAAATCGATGACCGCCGAGGTAAAACCCGCTGCACGAATTCTAGTAGATCCTTTGCAGTCGCATTCTCTTCTTCAACCATCTTCCTCATTTGCTCCTTCATTGCTGTCAGGCTGTCTAACATTTGCTCTGCCTCAGCACGGAAAGACTCCCTATCTGCCTCCATTTTGGCAGCCAGTTCCGTCACTTCTGTCCTCACTTTATCAATCTCCAAGTCCATTTTCCCCGTGTGCTCAGCTATACGAGACATCCAGCGTTCTTCCATCCTTTTTATAACAGGCTGGAGATGAGCTTCAAATTCCTGCAGCAACAAGTCGGTCGAGCGAAATAATGTGAGATGTAATTAACATCCAACTTTGAAGAAGAAGAAAACTTCATCCAGAATTTGACCTTGTTTCGTTGATGGAATGGAACCAGGACAGCTATATAGGCTCATAGGGAATTACCATATGAGGAAGTTAATCAGTTAAATGTATGCTAGATCTAGTAACTTCTGATAGTGTGGTCATCCGCATTCTCTTCTAGATCTAGTAACACCAGATTTTTCATGAGTAAACTCAAAAGATGACAGCCCAAGCAGTTTCTTTTGACACATAAATAATCATATATAGCATCATGCAGTTTGTGGGACTGGATATCTCTAACATTGTTAGGAGATGATGTGGAGTAATAGCAGAGATAGTATTGTTCCAAGTGTTGCTTTCCATGAAGAGAGGGGAAAATGTACTGTTTCACATCAACCGAGATGTCTGAGAAAAGCAACAACTAATAATTTAGTAATTCTATACAAGTACACCAGAAGCAAGAGATAAAAACCTGTAAACTAATAATTTCCCATAGATTTTCTGGTGCATAGAGATTGGTGATAAGCTTGTCTTCAAATTGTGCGCCACACTGAGGACACTGAAAAGGAAGATGGATGCATCCATAAGTTACATAGCACGACAGATAGCTAACATAAAGTGTATACAGGATTACGCATGGTACCTTTGCACTAGCGAGGGCAGAATGATGTAGCCACCTCTCTAGGCACGATCTTCCATACACATGTCCGCAAGGAATACAACTGCGTGGCACCAGTAAATGATCAATTGTACAAAATTTCTCACTAGCCCATAGTTCAAACACAAACCATGCCACAGACTCATGTGCTAGGATCCATAATTCAAGTAGAAACTCACTCTAAAGTTGCTATGCTAGGTTATAAACGGTCGCAAGCTTAACCGAAGTCTTGACCAATACTCAATATTGAATGTAACTTAAGCGTCATCATTACTCCATACACAAGCTATGCTTTACGAGGGACACGAGCAAATATTCACCTTCGAA